GTCCGCCCTTGACAAGAGCAAGTGTTGAATTGATTGATGGATGAGCCGCAGGATCAGCATGGAGATTTATTTTAAATAAATTAGTTTTAAGTATTTAGCACCTGCTGCACCTTGGTGCAGCCCAGAGCTGCAGAAAATACAACAGTTCTTGGACCTTTTTTATCCATCAGGGAACATTGTTTCTTCAGCGAGGTGAAATATGTCAGCATCATCCATCCATCCACCCAACCATCCATCCATCCATCCATCCATCCATCCATCCATTATCTTTACTCGCTTCTTTTCTGGGTCACAGGGCTCACTGTGGTGCCCATGTCCAGCAGTCACTGTGTGAGAGGCGGGGGACACCCTGGACAGGTCTCCAGTCCATCACAGAGACACATAAAGACAAACGTCCATTCTCTCTCACTCTCTCTCAGTTACCAGTCAGTCTAACATGCATGTTTTTGATCTGTGGGAGGAAACTGGAGAACCTGGAGAAAACCCACGCAGCATGGAGAGAACATGCAAACTCCACATAGAAAAGCCCCCAGCTGGGTTTTGATTCTGCAACCTTCTCCTTGAGAGGTAACAGCTCTACTAACTGATCCACCGTGCCACATCAACTACATAAAGTCAGGAGCCAAAGGTTTTCCATCCCAACACTGACTGACGTGCCACCTTCGTCCAACCTGGAGTCTTGTTGTCTCCACAAAGACCTGACCGTCCACATGATGGAAAATAAGACTCAACTGACCAGACCAGGTCACCTCCTTCCATGGCTCAGAGGTCCAGTTCTGATAATCAGGGGTTCACTGTGGCAGCTCTGGATGGAGGAGATCCTGGCTGGTCTGAGGACCCAAACACATCAAAGTGCAACTCTTGATGTTGGGTCATTGAATGCACCTCTAAAACTGATGGGGTCAACCTAAAACACAACAACGACTGTAACTCGGTCACTTTTAGAGAAGTTGATATAAAATTTGGTTTGGTAGTAGCTGAGACTCTTTCACATCACACACTCTGTGACATGTTGCAGTGGTTCCAACCCTGGTCCCTGAGGAACACCATCCTGCATGTTTCAGTTGTTTCCCTGCTCCAACACACCTGATTCAGTGATTTAATCACTTCCTCGAGTTCTGCAGAAGCCGGTTAATCACCCAGTCATTCAAATCAGGGAAACAACTAAAACATGCAAGACGGTGTTCCTCAAGGACCAGTGTTGGGAACCACTGGCATCATGAGTTTGTGTAAAACATTCATTTCAAGGTTTGACCAAAATGCAGCTCAGTTATTTCTCAGCAGAAGATGATTTGTGTCTAAAACACAAACTCCAGGCCGCTCACGTGCACAACAGCAAAGACCTAACCTGGAAAAGTTGAAGTTCAGGATCTTTAATGTTGAATAGGTCTGTGTGTGAAAGTGCTCCATCACGGAGCTGAATATTGATGAGAAAATATCCTGATGCTG